AACCCAAGAAAAAATCTAGTCATATCTCATCAACAAAATTTTATCTTTGTAGAGCTTTATATCTCATTGCCAAAATTAAAAAATTATATTATAGTTTACTAATGCTTTTGTATTTCAAATTTTTTTTTTACAAAGCCAATATAAACAAAAGATGTTATTTGCACAATAGTCATGAAATAAATTTTAGGATTTTCAAAAAACTGAAATCCGATCCAATCCAAACCGAAAAAATTGGATTGGATTGGATCAGATTTGAAAAAAAATCAAAACCGAATGGATGGTTATATGATCAAACCGAAGGAATTGGATTAGATGGTTTTTGCTTCCAAAACTGATCCAATCCAGACCGCGAACACCCTTAGTTACCATCCGAGATATGTTTCTTGAAGTTATTAAATGAGTTATTTAGGGCTGCTTACTCTTCAAAAATTGATCTAAAGTCTTGATATAATCAAATTAGAATGTTTGAGCCTGACATTTCAAAAACTGCATTTAGAACATACCACATACATTTTGAAATTAATTTTAGTGTTTTGATCTGTTAATAGAAGAGTGATTTATATAATATGTTTTGTTCGAATTATATAAAGAATTTCTTTTATGCAGTAAATTACCAAAACAAATATGAAATAAATTAAAATGTCAATTAGAGAATAAAAAAGTGTTTCTATATCATTTATTAAATAATCCAGAATTAAGAATAAAAAACTTTGATGCTTATTTCAATGAGCTATTTCTTTTTGTAGTTTTTTTTTTGGGTTAAAAAATAATTTTCGTGTTTGCATTTGCAGTCTGTTTGGTTAATATTTTATATTCTTTAAAGTTGCTCTTAAAAGCTTATGGAAAAACATGTACAGTAGACGAGAGGGAAAGAGCCCAAAAAGCAATTTTATTTTCAGAAAATATTCTTAATTATTTACCAAACTTACTCCTACTCATCTTGCACACTCGTTTGTAGTGATGGATCGTTCATTGTCATCTGAAAAAGAATTTTCCATCACCAAAAAAAATTGATTTGCATTTTTAACCGCTCATCACATCTTTTGATCCTTTGTCACAAGTAGTAGTCAAGAATCTCATTGATCGTGGGCCGGGCCAGAACATTAGTGACAATGGACTTATAACCTGGACTAAATGATGCGGCTGACTTTAGGGTTGAGGCTATAAATTGGGCCATTAAGAACCAACCCAGGCCTAGGCCCAATTTATCCCAGCCCAATAAATCCTCACCTCGGATTTGATATAAATATTTGAGAAGAATAATATTTCTAATGTTGTAAGAGATAAATTTTATCTCTTATTATATACACATAAAAACGTGTGAGATAATATTTTATTTTTCTCTCTCTTCTCCTCACGTGGGCTTCACACACTTTTATGTGTATGTAGGAGATAATTTTATCCCTTATAACATGAGAAACATTAGTCTTATATTGGAGACGTTATTTGTTTTTGTTGTTGTTTTAATCCTAAAAAATCCAAAAAAGAAAAGAAAAGTAATTTTACTATCATATTTATAATTTGAAGTTGTTAAAGGAATATGCATAGTGAAGGAGCTTAAATGCAACATCTTACAAGAGTTATTTTCAAATATTTTCTTACACGGAATTTTATAAAAACCATGAAAGCATTTTTTATTTTATTTTTTTGGTTAAAATCAGAGGTAGAACGATTGCGGCATTCAAAATTTTGGAAACTTAAAATGTCTGCGATTCCATGTCGATCTTATGCATCTTTGGACACATGTCACATTATGTATATCACCAATTGGTAGTATAGATACCAGGATCTTCTCGTTTTAATTTGCTTATGTATGCATGTCTTCCCAAAGAAACAAAAATGTTCAAAAGTTAGCTTATGTTATGTGTATCTTCTCCAAGTTTCTGTGCATTGTTTTGAACCGAATCAGACACCTTCTCTCTAGAGATATGTTTATATATTGTTCAAACGTGTTCTGTTGCTCCCCATATATATCACCCCATTTTTATATTGTTATATAGTTTGGTACACCGAAACACATATTATCAGAGTGTGACACATGGTTCATCTCCCCCACCAAGTGCATCCTTTGTTCTTAAACAATAATATAAAGAGAGGGTTTCCCGCAAGGAATTTTGAATGAGTTATAGGCCCACATCATCCACTATTGCCTGACCCAAATGCATCATCTAAAGCATATTTTATTCTCCAACAATTATGGATCCAATAAATCAGGAAAACCTTACCTCTTTGGACCTTTCTTATAGCCATTGAAAGGTGATGAGAGCAACTATGGTGGTTTACATACCCAACTATATATGATTTTACATTACCCCTTTGAAACTTCTTAGCCAAATGTTTCATCTAGTGTTCTCTGTATTATGATAGCTAGCAATATTATGGTTTTTCAAGGTCCACACAATTCCCACATGCAGCTGCATTTTTTTGCAATTGTCCCACAAATTTGTAACTACAATATTCAAAGGGAATTGTTTTTTATGCATGTTTTAAGCACAATAACCGTATCAGCAGTTTCAAACCATATTCACTCACATATGTAATGTTATGCATGTTGCATATAGTAGTGAGAAAATCTAGTCCATGGGTTTTCATTAGTGTGTAAATTTGACCATATGATATGTTATTTGATTTTTCAAAAGCTGGAACACAGGTGGCAGTTCATGCTCTGTGGTCCTTTATAAGCTGCTTTTTTTCCTCTGAAATGTGAAGTCATGATGCTTAGTGCTAACCAATTAATGTACTTCTGATGCTTGAATCCGCGTTTCTAGTCAACAAAATTTGCATGTTCATAATCATGGTTCTTCTTGAATTTTGATTGCAAATATTGTCCTTCTTAATGATTTCCTGGGAAATGTTGGGACATGAATTATTGGCGCTTCTCAAACAAGGAAGGGCAGTGCACAAGGCATCCCAATCCAATGAAGGGGTATGCAAAAAGAAAAGAAAAGAAAAATATATTAATGAAGGGAGAAGGACTAAGCCTAAATTTAGCTGCTGTTATGGAATTAAATGCAGCAGAAGCTATAAGGTATGTGTAATTTCTACGTCATGCTAGCAAGTCTAGTGACTTCAGCAGTTATCTATTCACACTTGGAAAGGTGTTGCAAACTTAGCATATGAATTAGGTTATGCAGCTTGAGGTTGCAACTTTGATGATGTAAAAATCATAGGCTCTCCGAGTATATTATTGTGTTTTTTTATATCAACGAGTGTCCCAAATCTTAATAGACTCAACTAATATAATTTCGGGTTTGAGTCTATGCATCCTCCTCGGGAGTTGTTCCTCTCGGAAATCAAACCCATATTTTGGACATTCAATAAACCCCAAAAAAAAATAAAAATTGTGATTAGTGGTGTGTAAGAAAGGATCATGTGTTGAACATCTTTTGGTGCTTACTTTATTTTAAGTTATTTTTGTGGGTAAAATTAAAGATAAAAGGGAACCTATTGAAGATGTTGAATGTGGGAAGAAAAAAGTATCATAATTTTTTTTGGCATATGCGTATGCCGCCAGTTGATAACTTAGTTTACATTATATATAATTAATAGTGCTTTTACAATTCTAATCAAATCCTCAAGCTTTATGAGAGTCACAAACCGCCAGAAACTTGTGTTACGTGATCAGATGTGACTTCCTTGAGTTTAGAAATTTAAGTATATATATCTTGAAGCTATATTTTTTTAATCGTCTAATAGCACTTTCAGCTTAGCAACATGAATTATTCTTTGTTTCTGAAGTTCTATTACTAATTTAGGAATGTTGGGTCACTTTTGGAGGTTTAAGGAATTCAGTTAGTACTTTTTACACGTTTTATATACCTAATGGATATTATTAGGCAATCTAATACATCATGTTGCTCGTCACCCTCCATTTCACAACAAGATTAAAAGTTTTCCATTTACTTGCAATTTTAAATCCTTTTGTTCCACTTCCTTTCTCTTTATCCAATAATGGCCACTCCCACATAAGCTGACATATATCTGAACCAATTATCACCCCGCTGCCTAATATATGAAAATCATAAACCAACAATTAATTAATAGGCACAATTAATATTGCATTAACTTCTTTATATATTCCCCTCCTCAATGGGTTTTTCCACATAGAAATTCAAATTCAATCCATGCATGATATTAACAATGTGTCAAGGCTTAAAATATTGCAAGGCAAGAACTTAACATGGTTGGATATAGAACAATTAGTTCAAGTGATGAGAACTAATGCTATAAAAATGGATTTGTTGTGGAACAATCGAATGGTATTAATTGGTCGTCCCATTGAACTGCCGGAGACAGGCAAAATATTTATCACTAACTTAATATTTATAAACTCTTATAAACTATATTATGTACTATGGGTAGTATATACTATTTGAGCATGTATTATCCGTAGTACATAGTATAGTTTGTAAATAAAAAATTTGTAAAAATAACCTACCCCCAAATGTTTACCCCACACTTTATACGTGATTACCCCATACTTTCTACACACGTGTGACTAATACACATGAGGAAGTCATGCAATTTCACACCATTGTTGGGCCTATAAGGCTGAAAAATGGTCATGACATTATAGTTCACACGCTAGGGGATCTTCTTCCATTCTATAAATATTCCACTATCTCCTCGGAAAGAGTATCTTTATCAATCATTATCATCACTCATTATAAGAAAAATATGATATAAAAATCATTGATGAGCTTTTACTGTTCAGCTGAAGTTTTTGGGGGTTGAATTGATTTTGTACATGATATCAGAGCACATAGAACAAATAAGCTAATTTCTTTTAGGTGTGATGATTGCTTTACATGGTACATGACTATGGGATCAAGATTTTAATCCTCACCACTCTTTCTTTCTAATAAAATTAAGTTAGCAGTAATAGAGTTGAGAGAAAACTTGAAACTTTTCATTACTCAAAGAGTTCAGAATACAATCAATTTTTACCAAATGCACTATACAAAATAATATTTATACATGCTTTGATGAATAATTGATCTCTAACAAACTACATTCGTTCTGTTATGGTTAGTTGGCATAATGCAACTGTCATCTGACGTGGAAACTGAGTTGGTTGGACTGTTTGTATCAGCTGAAGGTCGTGGGCCTTTATTGTCTGGGCTTGGATTTTGGCTTGTCCTCATTACCCCCTCACAAGTTGGACCGTGAATGTTAACAAGGCCCAACTTGAAGAGAGCTGTGTGAAAGACTGCCGGAGGAAGAGACTTGGTAAACATGTCGGCCAACTGGTCAGAGGATGTCACTGGAAGTAGTCGCAAAAGACCTGACTGAAGTTTCTCGCGAGTAATGTGAAAGTCGATTTCGATGTGTATGGAGCGCTTGTGGAAGGCTAGATTATGGGCAAGATAAATGGCCGATTTGTTGTCGCAAAAAACAGAGGCTGGTTTAAGCCATTGAATATGCAGATCGTGAAACAAATGTTGGAGCCATTGGATTTCACAGGTGAGAATGGCAAGAGCTCGATACTCCGCTTTAGATGAGGAACGAGAAACAGTTGATTGCTTCTTCGTTTTCCAAGCGACCAAAGAAGATCCAAAAAATATGCAGAAACCTGCAGTTGACCGGCGAGTGTCAGGGCAACATGCCCAGTCGGAGTCAGCAAAGGCACGAACCTGGATATCTGGAGACGAAGGGAAGAAAAGTCCAGAAGCTGGTGCTCCTTTTAAGTATTTAAGAATACGAAGTGCAGCTTGATGATGAGCATCACGAGGACAAGATACAAATTGAGAAAGCTGTTGAACAGCGAAGCAGAAATCTGGTCTCGTTGTTGTCAAATAGAGTAAGCGCCCAACTAGGCGATGATAAGAGAACTCATCTATCAGAGGGGACCCAGTGGTGCGACTGAGACGAGAAGATGGCTCCATTGGAGTAGAACTGGGCTTGGTTGCTAGCATCCCCATATCAGAGAGGATCTCCAATGCATATTTGTGTTGGTTGAGATGAATTCCACGTGAAGTGCGAGAAACTTCAAGGCCCAAAAAATAGCGCAGAGGACCAAGATCCTTTATTTTGAATTTCTCATGTAGAAAAGCTTTCACTCGTGTGATCTCAGATGGGGAATTACCAGAAAGTACAACATCATCTACGTAGACCAAAAGCACTGTGAATGAGGATCCAACCTTTCGAGTAAACATGGAGTGATTTGCATTTCCTTGTATATAACCAAGAGTCAGAAGAGCCTCAGACAATTTACTGTACCATTGGCGGCTCGCTTGCTTGAGGCCATAAAGAGACTTATTAAGACGGCAAGCTTGGTTGTTTTTGGATCTATGTAATCCTGGAGGAATCGTCATGTACACTTCTTCACTAAGATCACCGTGAAGGAATGCGTTATCTACGTCCAATTGTTCCAAAATCCATCCCTTAGCAGCTGCAATACTAAGTAGGACTCGAATAGAGGTGAGTTTGGAAACTGGTGAAAAAGTATCGAAAAAGTCAACCCCTTCTTGTTGAGTAAACCCTTTGGCCACTAATCGGGCTTTGTGTCTCTCAATTTCACCATTTGCACAATACTTGATCTTGTATACCCACTTACATCCTATGGGTGTTTTATCAGGTGTTAAATCAACAATGGTCCAAGTATGAGCTTGTGCACTATAAGATAAAATCTCAAAAATGAGTCTGTGCAATATTTACACTTTTTTTCTTTGGTAAACTATAATATTTACACTGTAAATCTAAAGACCTCTTCCGTGAGGCGACATATTAAAAAAATATAATATAAAAATAATTAATGAATTTTAACTTTTTTTTGTTAAATAACGAGACAGAAGAAAGAAGAGAGGAACATTTAAAATAATACTGTGTGTATTAACTGATGAAGGATGTACAATATATATAGACAAACTAATGGACTAAGCTCAAACCTAATATAATCAGACCTAATACAAAATAAGGAAACCCTAATTACAATATATTTCTAACACTCCCCCTCAAGCTGGAGCGTATAGGTCATATGCACCAAGCTTGTTACATATAAACTCTATTCGAGGGCCCCTCAAAGATTTTGTAAACACATCTGCTAATTGCTCATTAGAGGGTACAAAGCTAGTTTTAATTTCACCAGCAAGAACCTTTTCTCGAACAAAGTGACAATCTATTTCTATATGCTTGGTTCTTTCATGAAACACTGGATTTGATGAAATGTGTAGAGCTGCTTGATTATCACAAATGAGAGTTTCCTGTTCAGTGTCTCCAAACTTAATCTCTTTGAGAAGCTGTTTAAGCAGATGAGCTCGCAACTAGTAGTCGCCATGGAGCGGTATTCTGCTTCAGCACTTGATCTGGCAACTACGCTTTGTTTCTTACTTTTCCAGGAAATCAAGTTGCCTCCAACAAAGACACAATACCCAGAAGTAGATCTCCTATCAGTTGGACAACCAGCCCAATTAGCATCACAGTACCCAACAACTTTATCATGACCTTTATCTTCATATTCAAGGCCTTTTCCTGAAGATGCCTTAATATACTTAAGAATACGGATGACTGCATTCCAATGTTCTTGACATGGAGAATTGAGAAATTGACTGACAACACTAACTGCAAAAGAAATATCAGGCCGAGTGACTGTGAGGTAGTTCAATTTTCCAACCAATCTTCTATACCGCTCAGGATCTGAAAAGGGCTCCCCCTGATTTGGTAGAAGCTCGATACTTGGATCCATAGGAGTATCAACAGACTTTGAATTCAACAGAGCAGTTTCTTCAAGAATATCCAGAGCATATTTCCTCTGAGATATCACAAAACCAGCTTTAGATTGGGCCACCTCGATTCCCAAGAAGTATCGAAGTTTCCCAAGATCCTTAGTCTGAAAATGATGACATAAGTGTTGTTTTAATCGAGTGATCCCATGCCGATCACTACCTGTGATGACAATATCATCCACATATACCACCAGATAAATGGATCCAGAAGCAGAATGACGATAAAAGAGAGAATGATCAGCAGCACTCCGAGTCATGCCAAATTGTTGAACAACACTGCTAAATTTACCAAACCACGCTCTTGGAGATTGTTTGAGGCCATAGAGAGACTTACGAAGACGACAAACAAGACCTGACTCCCCCTGAGAAACAAATCCAGGAGGTTGCTCCATATAAATTTCTTCCTCAAGATCACCATGAAGAAAAGCATTCTTGATATCCAGCTGGTAGAGAGGCCAATAGCGAATAGCAGCCATGGCAATAAAAAGGCGAACAATAGACATTTTCGCCACAGGAGAAAAAGTATCAATAAAATCCAAACCAAAGACCTGAGTAAAACCCTTCGCCACCAAGCGAGCTTTAAGACGATCCACTTGACCATCAGGTCCAACCTTAACAGCATAAATCCATCTGCAACCAACCACAGATTTGCCAGAAGGAAGAGGCACCAGATCCCATGTGCCATTATGATGAAGAGCACTCATTTCATCAATCATAGCTTGTCTCCATCCCGAATGTGAAAGTGCATCACCTGTAGTCTTAGTAACAGATACAGAGGACAAAGAGGAAAGACAAGAAAAATATGATGGAGAAAGACGATGATAACTAATATTGACTGTATACCTGGCCGGAGGGCGAGTATCACGAGTACCCTTACGAAAAGCAATAGGAAGGTCACTATCCGAAAGTAGGGGGAATGTTAGAAACATGGACGGGTAAAGATGGAAGGTAAAGAAAGTCACCTGGGAAGGTTGACTGTACAGGATCAGTTTCCACAGGAGTAGTAGAGGATCCAAAAAAGGGAACTGATTCAAGAAAGGAGACATCCGCCGAGATAACGTATCGACGTAAAGTGGAAGAGTAGCAACGGTAACCTTTCTGAGACCGAGGATAACCCAGAAAAACACATTTATGAGACTTGAGAGCTAATTTATCGAAACCTGGACCAAGATGATGAACAAAACACGTAGAACCAAACTAATGTGGAGTTTATAAGGTCTTGGGCACTCCCACCCTTTGAGCTAGCTTTTGGGGTGGTGTATCCCAAAGTTCTTTACATGGTATCAGAGCCTCGTGTCTCGGGTTCGATCCTCGCCGCCCTCCAATTTCTTTCAAGTGGAATTTCTTTGTTCGCACAGGTAGGTGAGCCTGTGCATTATCCACCCTTCAAATCCAGTGGGCTCTCATGTAAAGGAGCGTGTTGAGATATATAAAACCATTAATGTAATCTCACCCAATAACTTAAACTTTTGGGTTGAATTGGTTCTTTTCATTTTCAATTTAAACTTTTAGTTTGAATTGAATCTTCAAACTCATCTTACTGGAATTTTTTCGAATTCACATCTCACCAATCATAACCGAGCCCATTTAGCTCTCCTTTATTGTCAGCTTGTTTGAAGATTTAACGGTGATTTTTCTAAGCTAGGATTCATAGCGCTAGCGCTGCCTGTTCAATCATCATCATGTTAACATGTTTCACCCTATGAGCGACACGTATCTCCTTCTCCTTATTCCTTTCTGAGAAGTTCAGAGTTATTACATATTGTTTTTATTTACATAAATAAATAAAAATTCTTGGGCTCTACTATTCACGTAGCAATCAGTGTGTCAATTCCAATATTCCCCTGTGCATGTGCAGGGGTGAAAGGGAACCTTTCAGACGTTTCTGCATTAGAAAGCGGCGTTCTCGGTCTGAATAGCAAATATTAGTCAATTCTTTGGATTTGGAGTTCATATAGAAAGGTTTATTTTGAGACATTGTGGGTCACTCTAGATTCTTCCAACTTGTGGCTGTGAGAGCTTCAGAAACACAGCATTAATATCTCCCTTTTGGCTGCACATAGGGGTGACAATGAACTCTTGGGGGGTGAAATGCAGCTTCCATTTCACATTCTTGGCCTAATTTTAGTTTTTTTTTTACACAATGTGTTAATGACACTGAATGACTTGAATATTTACTAGTACTTTGGCTTTCAGGGTAATGATGACATATTATAGAGTTATGATATACTAAGACTGCTGAAAATGAATGAAAGGATTCTAAAACAGACTCATCTCAACAATTTTAATTAGTGACTTAAAATTTTAACCATGTAACTGATGTTAACTTGACATACTACACCCAAAGAACAAAGATTATGTGGAGATGGGGCCTATTGTGAGGAAATGAACATTATTAACATGAATATCCCCAAAAATATCATTTCATTTTTCAGCACCATTAACATAGAAAGAGCAAGGCACCAATCTTATCTAATAATAATACCAAAGTCTATTAAAAGTGACTTCAAATAATTATCCTTTTTCGCGTGAACCAAGAATGTATGATAGGTGTAACCGATGACAAGTGGCACCTTTCATATCGTGAATGCTACATTCTATCAGTAAGTTCCCTTCTAGGAATTGATTGGCAATGACAGTTTAAGTTCTCTGTAATTTTGACAAATTTTAGGAATTGGTAGATTAGTAGCATATTATCAATATATATCACTTACTTTTATGGTAAAAAATTCAATATTCTTATGTTTCTAGTTGTATGTAAGTTCTTTAACAATATAATATAGAAAACAATTTTTTGTCTTCAAATGTTGAGGTTTCTTCAGCTTAACTTTAGGGGAAATCTTGGCCACAAAGGTTGCTTGTAACACAGCACAGCTGTTCATTGTTGGCAGTAAACATAGCTGCATACCTTATCCTAATAGAAGGTTTAGATTATGTGTGGTTGAAATTTGTAGTACAGAGTCAGTTGCCATGTGCATCCCTATTAATACTTAATAATATTATAATATACTGAAACCTTGGAAGTCTCTAGAAGTAGTTTCTGAAATCTAATATGCATCTTTTCCACCTATAATGTCTACCTATATTTTTCCCCCCTCATTAGGTAATAGTATTTGCACAAAGATTTTTTCTTTATATTTTATATATATCTTAATAGAAGGTTTAGATTTATGTATGGTTGAAATTTGTAGTTCAGGGTCAGTTGCCACATTGCATCATAGCTTACATCCCTATTAATACTTTATGTTATTGTACATACTGAAACCTTGGAAGCCCCAGGACCAGTAGTTTCTGAAATCTAATTCGCATCTTTTGTACCTAATGTCTACCTATTTTGTTTTATTTGTGAATCACTAAATAATAAATAATTTCGGATATACTATCGAGCTTAGGTATACTATGCATTGTACATAAGTAGGGTATTCACTCTCATTTATTAAGCAACACATATTAATTTGAGAAAAGATTTGATTACAAATTTTTTTTATAGATTTTTACAAATTACACTATGTATTTTTTGGGAGAACATAGTGTAATATAATGTTTTTTCAAAAAATATAATATAGTTTGTAAAAAAAAATTTTGTAAAT